CCCCCCACCTTCCGGAAAATTGACGAATTTTCGGAAATTTTGATCTAAAAGTGGGCTAAAAACAGTCTTTTCGAGTGCAAATGGGGGGGGTGGGGTGTACGTCGGAAATTTCAAAGTTTTGTCGGAAATTTAGGAGGCTTTGCCCCCTCCCCCCCCCCCACACCGGAAAAAGTGAATTTCCGCCACTGATTATTGACTGTTGTAGCAATATTTATTGGAAAGTTTGTATTTCAGCCGTTGGTACTTGTTACGGAATGGCTATGTAAAGCTATATATATAGTGTTAAACGTGGTTAAAAAATAAAAATATTTTGACTTTGTTTCTGATGACATTTGCCGACTCTCGACTTTTTACTCTCGATCGACTCTCGACTTTTTACTCTCGACTCTCGACTTTTTACTCTCGACTCTCGACTTTTACTCTCGACTCTCGACTTTTACTCTCGACTCTCGACTTTTTACTCTCGACTCTCGACTTTTACTCTCGACTCTCGACTTTTTACTCTCGACTCTCGACTTTTTACTCTCGACTCTCGACTTTTACTCTCGACTCTCGACTTTTACTCTCGACTCTCGACTTTTACTCTCGACTCTCGACCCTCGACTTTTAGATACACTCGACTGGGTGTCTCTCAAATGTATGGGTGATTGCTAGATAGTATACCTCAAAATAAGGTTTCCTTTTTTGTAACGTAGAAAAAACTATCCTAACGCAAAACTAAACCCCAACCCTAATACTAAACCTAACCCCAACTTAACCCTAACCTAAACCCTAACCTAACCCTAACTTATTTTAAAATAGATATAAAAACCTAAATCTTATTTTGAAGTATACTATCTAGCAATTGCCCAAATGTATGATCATGACTGTTGCACTGATGGTGATAAGGCAATAACGCGGGTCACTTTGGGATCGCTGTGGGATCACGGCACAGATCACTGAAGATCACTGACATCACTGTGGTTCCCAAACAAAAAGCTGGGAACTGTCATGCGCATAAGCAAAACAAAACCAAAGCTGGTTTGGAATTGGGGTTCAAGATAACTCCATCTTCGCACAAAAATTGAACCTTTTTGTTATGTTTTTCAAATTATTTTCAACTTTTAGTCAAGTAGAAGTCTGAAGACCTTCATGTTGAGGTAATTGTACTGCGTATAGTTAACTTGATTGACAATTTAACTGCGTTGTCTCGTGCTGCAACCTGTACTATGCGAGTCGCTTCTAGACTACTAGTGTTGCTTTTCTTCTGTCTGAAATTAAGTACATAGATATTTTATATCATTTTACGCTTGACGATCGTCTACTTCTGTTTGCGTTCTTACCTTAGCATTGAGCATCGTATGTGTTTTTATTTGGCTTTTGGAAAATATATGACTTCATAGTCATAGTTTTGCAAATGTTATTGTTGGACCAGAGAAATAATTTTAGTACAGAGGAAGTAGATGTTTTTATATTATTTCCTAATTTGCGATCCTGGTGAGATCTATGTGCAACATAAGAAATTAAAAAAAAAGGGTAGTGAAAGATGCTGGATTGAAACAATCCTATATGATATAGTTTAATATACTGGTATTATCTGAAACAATTATAAACAACTTTGTCAGCAAATTATATATAAATCAAAAGTGAAACTGGAATATAAACATTGGACTGTTAGATATAATTATAT